GACTGGAGCCGAAGTCAGATGCTTAACTGACTGAGCCACCCAGGCGCCCCCACAATTCATGATTTTAAATAAAGACAAATTAAATCACATCTGAATTTCTAAACCTAAATATATTAGATAGTGGCACTTGGAATCGTTCCAAAATTCCTGGAAAGCATGTCATTCTCTTGAAATAAACTTAGCATAAAAGGTGGCAAAGAGGTCCTTACAAGGCGTGTCTGAATCTGACTTGGTCAACGGTATTTGGCAAAGTTGGCAAAAACCTAGGAGAATGCAACAACAAATTCTGTGAAAGGCCCATGGATCTGGAACATAAGCAGTAGAGGACAATTGATGAAGGTACTGTTGCAGCAACTGGAATCATCAACACTGATACCACATGAACAAAGCACGTAATACACATCTGAAAAGGAGTCATTCCAATTTTTTGCAGAGCAAAAATCTCCACTATTAATAAACTGATGACACCAACAGAGATAAGCAGAATCCAAGAGGAATCCAGTGCAGGGAGGTCAGGAAACCACAGGACCCCACTAGCAGGTAACTGTTCCTGAATAGAAAAACCTACATCTGAATGTGTTGCCCCTGTGCTAAAATTCCAAAGAGCAACAGACATGAAGATCCACATTGGAAACCGAATCCAGACCAACACAGAGGCTTTGAGAGGGTGGCAGTTATCCCGAACATATAGCTCTTGAAACAAGCCCCCCCGTATTCTTTAGGTAAGTTGGCCTGGCAACTCTTTTGGACCACCTCAACTGATCTGCACTAACTGCACCTTCTTGGTTGAGATGCCTTGCAATGCTTTTTATTTCTGGCTGCAAATTTTCCACCTTGGCCAGGACGTAGTGCCAGTTACGGTGCGGTAGTAGGGGCGGGGGAGAGGGGGTCTAGACCACGCCCAGCAGGACCTCGGTGGTTAGGACAACACGGGACCACTAGGGCAGACCTGTGGCAGTGTGCGTGCGGAGTAGCACCTGCTCTGCGTCTGTACCAGTGCTGATGTGGCCAGGTCCTCGCCCCAGCTGCCAGGGCCGTGGCCACTGCCGGAGCCAACTGCCAAGACTCACGCCGCCAACCCACACCCGCAGAGCAGAGTGATTAATGGCACCGTGGAGGTTGGCGCAAGAGGCAGGCCCCTGGCCCCAAGTTGCAGTGCAGCCACCTACCGCCAAAGCCGGCAAAACATGTCTGGGTTGACCTTTCTTCTTGATGCCTGCACCTGTAAGCCACACTGCCCAGAGTAGAAAACTAAGGACTAGTGGAGGTGATGTGGCTCATAACACCCGGAGACCAAGTTGTTGGCTAAAGACAGATATTCTCATCTCTTCCACTCAAGCCAGAAAGGCGTGAGGTGAGGGTTAGACAAGGGAAGGAGGTAAATGTTCTGTAAAAAAAAAAAAAAAAAAAAAAAAAAAAAAAAAAAAAAAAAAAAAAAATTCTTTATGATGAGTTGAATATCTAAATTGAAAACAACTGCTTAGGTTTCATTTACTTATTCTTTTATTGTCCCAATGTTTACTAACTGCAAATTGCTAATTAGAGGCTGAATATTCAACTATAAGCAGGCATGTATAGTTCTACCCTTATGCAAGTTGAATAAATAGGCAATGAGTGACAAGTCAATGCCACAAGGGGTACCAAAGGAAAAGTGCATGCATAGCACTAAGGATGTACAAATCGGACTATTAAGGAGGCTTTGGGAAAAGATAAGGCTTTCTGGAAGAATTCACCTCTACAATGACCTGCAGAATGAGTAAGACTAACTGGTCTCAGAGAGAAGAAAGACTGTTCTTGACCAACAAAACAGCATGGGCAAAAGCAGCAAGATGAATTACAAGGAAATGAAAGAAAATTCAGAAGAGGTGGAACATAGAACCATGGGGTTCTTCAATGACCAAATACCTTTAGGAGTTTGAACTCTATCTTAAATGCAGTGAGGAGCTATTTAAGAGTTTCATATTCAATCATATTTGCTTTGTCAAACCATCATTCTATGAATAACATAAGGGAGTGGAGTCCGCGATCAGAGTAGGTACTGGTACAGTTCACAGTTAAGATTAGGTATTTGGCTGGATTGGGGTATGGAAAATAGTGGGGTTTGGACGTGAAAAATACCTAAAAGGTAGAATTGACAGGACTCAGTGATTGACGGGACGTGGAAAGGCTAAGGGAGAATAAAATATCAATAAAGAAAATTTCCCAGACTTCTGGATCAGTAGCTTTACGTGTGCTAGTGCCATTTCCCGAGAGTTAAAGCGCCAGAGGTAGCCAGACAAAGAACCTGGGGCTGAATATTTCAGATATCTGCAACTTCCCTAATCCTGTTCATCCAAAATTTGTTTCCTATTTTGGTTTTAATGTTCCCTACAAGATGCCTCTGTGCAGCCGGCCGACCGCTTCGGCGGGCAGACAATCAAGGAAATTCTTCTCACAAGAGGGAGCCCTCGAGTGCAATCCCAAAGACGGGAAACTGTAAGACTAAAGAAACAGGAATCTTTTGAACGCCCTAAAATACCCACCCTTAGAGATATCGCAGCCGATCCAACCCAAAAAGCCAAGGACTCCGGGCAGAAACGTACCGACAGGTCAAGGCACTCCCTAATGACTCCGCCCCCTCGGGAGGGGGCACGGTAGATACCCGGATGTGGATGCTCGGAGTGAGTCACGTGACGCAGCCCGGTGAGGCGGGACTCCTGGCAGCGCAGTCGCCTCACGTGACCTCCTGCCAGTCAGCCAATGGGTGAGCGCGGCGGCGAATTTCGAATGTGGTGGCGTTAGCCGGCGGGCGACTGTGGACGGGGCCTAGACCTGGAGGGGCCGAAGCACAGGCTACGCCGACCAGACAGCTTCGCGAAACCTTGGAATGTAAGAAGGAGGGCGACAGCTGCGGCAGAAGTGGTGGCCAAGGTACTGTTTTGGACGTACCTGTGGGAGGAAGATCTCCCGGCCCTCTTCCGGCAACACCCCCCGCCCCCGACTTTCCCCGAGCCCCTCAGTGAAAGAGAAAGCCGCGGGGTTTCCAGGTGTGGAACTGGGGTGTCGTGGTCCCTGTTCGTCTGCCCTCAGGGGTCTCTCTGTCGTTCTAAGTTCGGTGGCCAAAAGCTCGGGCTGTGGAGTCGGTTTGACCCCGACACTTTCTCTGTTCGTCCACTCGACTTGCGCTTCCTGAGGCTCCATTATTCCTCTTGTTAAGTAAAGGGGACACGAACCTCCTGCCTTGCAGAATTTTGTAGATTCCGTGATCTGTAAAAGCATTAGTAGTTAAAGCCCGGCTTGACGTGAGGGCACACAAACTGGCAGCTGTTCTTTGTGCAGCCCTATGCCCTTGACGTCCTGTGTTGCTTCTTCGGTTTGCTTGGAGAAGCTAGCACTGGTCAGTGTCGTACCTGGCTGCCTCAGCAGCAGGAATGATGGAAGCATTATGACGGAGATCAGATAGATATTCCAGGTTCTTCTGAATCCAGACCCCTTACCCGAATGCTCTAGACACTGACCCTTCCCGCCCTGTGACCTGTTTCCATTCGTTCTCTCCACCACACCCCCTGTACTTCGGCCTAGATAGGAAACTTCTTATACGGCAGTTTTCTTTTGTGATTTTAAGTCAATTAAAGGTAATAACGAAAATATTTTAGGTACGCTGTTAAACTAACTTGATCAGTTGCTTAATCTGGGTGACTTTTCAAACATCTGTTCGAACTTTAAAAACTCCCATTGTGATACGCTGTTTTTATACAACCCACTTAACATTAGTGCTTTAAAAAAAAGAGTTGTGTTAGCTCTACTGGAAACATCCCAGTATGTGTTGTATCTACATTGTCAAAGAGAAAATAACAAATGAGTTCTACATTGAACACCCCCAGACAGTGCATAGAGGAAAATAAATACGGGCTGGAGAAAATACTCAAGAAAACGTAAGGTTCAGCAAAATTATTTGACTAGCTTAGAGCAGATGAAGGTATCTTTCGTAGTGAAAATTCTAAGTATGGTTGTAGGAAACAGGAATTATTTCTTGCAATTTTGTGATCTGCAAAGTGCAATCTAGGGTAAAAGATGTTCATGAAAAGTAGTTCGATACGCTTAGTAGCAGAATATTTAAGCAAATCTGATTTGCAGCACTGAAGGATTTAAATATATTTATGTGTTAATATATTCAGTAGCCTATTTCACTGTCACTGCTTGTTTTACTACTTTCAACTGTATGTAGAACAACTGTTATTTAATGTCTTGTTTGCTATTCTCATGATTTACTAAGAGCTAACAGACCTGAGTTTTAAAAATAACTTTGAGACAACTGGCATGTTGCTCTGCCTCAGTTCCTGCTCTTTCTAGTTCTATAATTGTTATAATAACCTATTAAGATTGTATATAGTGCTACATAGTTTCAACCTCTGAGGATTACCTCGAGTGTCTTGGGAGTGTGTGCAAATCTTAAGCATTGGGTTAAAAGAGTGTGGAAGAATAACTGTGTCTTGACTAATTCTATCCAGTGACCTAATGTGATAAATTAATAATGTAGAGAAGAACTGGAAAACAAAGCCCACATACAAGATTACCTCTGAACTAATGCTGTAAGTCTAGTAAACACTAAATGCGGGTCATAAACATTGTCTGTAGGAAACATAAATAATAATAACATCAAAATATAACATTAAGTATTTCCCATAATGCCTGGTATATAGCAAGCCCCCAGTGGGTATTTGTTAAGGAATAAATAAGTGGCATATTACAGAGTCTTTGGGTTGAAATGCATATTTATTAGTTTTCCCTGTAAAGTACCTGAGGAGGATAACATTATGCCAAAATGTTAATGAGGTTTAAAAGCTGCAAAATCTAAGTTATTACCAGGTTAGCCAGCTTCTTTAAGCTGATTCTACAGTTACTAAGTCTGTTTAATCCATTCTTTATGAACAACCTGTGTTTTCAATCTTGTTTTATATTTGATATTATCTCTTAGAAAAATTAAATACTTTTTACTGTTTTAAATTCCTAGGCAGAAGATGGCCAAGGAAAGGTGCCTTAAAAAGTCCTTTCAAGATAGTCTTGAAGACATAAAGAAACGAATGAAAGAGAAAAGGAGTAAAAATTTGGCAGAGATCGGCAAACGAAAGTCTTTCATAGCTGCTCCATGCCAAATAATCAGTAAGAGATTTTCATGTTGTCCTTTTGCGTCGCTTTTTAAGTTTATATTTAATACATAATAAAAAAAATTTATCCTCTTTCAGCCAACACTTCTACACTGTTAAAAAACTACCAAGACAACAACAGAATGTTAGCTTTAGCTTTGGAAAATGAAAAATCCAAAGTGAGAGAAGCCCAAGATATCATCTTACAACTGAGAAAAGAATGTTACTACCTCACATGTCAGCTACATTCATTGAAAGAAAAACTGGCTTCACAACAAACCGGAGAAACTACTCAGGTATTTTCATTACAAACGTTGAATTTCTTAGGAAAAAATGTGAAATCAGTGAATTGGTAGTTTAGATCAATTATGTTATATAAATTCATTACTGACCGATAGCTCTGTTATTAGTGAATTGATCAAAACATACATGATTGAGGCTTGTGCTTGTATAACTTGGTTCTGAAAGCAGGTAGCAAGACAAGGTACAGAAGAAATAGTTTAGCCTTTTGCACTGCTGGTCCTTTCAACCATTCAGCTAAGTGAGTCAAATATAGGGCAACTCAGATAAAGGTCTAAAAGTGATAGTTGAAGCGGACTAGTCCAAAAGTTTTAATCAGTGCTATAAATCTTAGCTTTTCTATGTAGTTGTGTTATACCTAGTGAGGTCTTATAAGAACTGCCTTAATTTGGGAGAGGGGGCTTTTAAGTGTTTTTTGGAGAGTCCTTTTTACCCACTAGTTGGTTAAATAAGGAAAGGTATACATTAATTCCCAAACAAGAACTATCCTAAACATTTTGCTGTTTATATTTTACTCTTATTCTGTTGTATTCAAGGTTACATGGAAGGGTCAGCCAAAATATAACAGATGTGGAGAAAGCTTGATATTCTTTGTGTCCCACTGCACATTGATCCCAAGAAGAGAGAAATGATGAGCCAGGTTCTCCTTTCCTCTTCCCAGGAAAACTACTTGGGGCAGAGAGAGAGAAAGCAGTGGTGCGTGTCAGGTGTTGACAGAAACAAGTTTACTTTTTTCCTGGGCGGCCATCTGTTTGCTGTGCCAGTGAAGACAGTTGTGTTGGCACTTAGGCCAGGAAACCAGAGAAGAAAGCCAGACCATAGCGATTAGGGGGAGGGTAAAGACTCGGGAAGGGAATTAAAGTCACCTCTCCACTGACGGCAAGAGTCAGTGATGAAAGTGATTCCATATTTTTTCTGTGTATGATATACAGAATGTACATACACATACATATATGCAATATATACATATACGGTATAGCAGAGAATTGGCTATAAAAGATTTGATATAATTTTCCTTTACGTGAGGGTTAGATTTTAAACTTTTTGGTTTTTTGGGATTTTTTCCCCTTCAGAATATAATCTTTCCTAATTTTTTTTCTTTTCCTTGTTCAGTCAACTAGTAAGAAAAAAAAAAAAAATCCCTCCAAAGACATTTGAATGTTCCTTTTCCCTTTCCAAAGTTTTTGGTGAAATCATATATAAAATAGTGAGAAATGAATACCCAATGAGACAATCACAAAAACAATGGGGGAAAAAATCTGTTATTGCAGGCCTTTGGACATTTATCAATGCTTTCTGAGTATTTATTAAAACATATTATTAGCTGGGGCGCCTGAGTGGCTCAGTCAGTCAAGCATCTGACTCTTGATTTTAGCTCAGGTCATGATCTCACAGTTTGTGGGATCGAGCCCCATGTCGGGCTCTGCGCTGACAGTGGGTAGCCAGCATGGGATTTTCTCTCTCTCTCTCTCTCTCTCTCTCTCTCTCTCTCCCTCTCCCTCTCCCTCTCTCCCTCTCTCCCTCTCTCCCTCTCTCCCTCTCTCCCCCCACTCCCTCCCTTGCTCCTTTCCTTCCTCTCCCTCTCTCCTTCTCTGTCTTACTCTGAAAATAAATAAATAAACTTAAAAAAAACAAAAACATTAGTTGCTGGGCAAAAGTGTTCTTAGCATTTAAAACATCAGAGTTTGTTTTCTGCCATACATTTGCTACATGTGTCACTCCTCAACCATCATTCTATAGTTGTGCTTACATGTTTATCAAGTCAATTAATCAGTAATGGAGAAACTTAAAATGCTTTAATAAGAAGAATGGGGTTTTTTTGCCTACCACTAGTTAACTTGGTTTATAAGGATTAATCATAAAGTAATTTCTAATAGCCTTTTGTTTCCTAAATTTTATAATAGATCTTTTTAGTAACTTGTTACTAAATTATATTATTCTGTAGTTAAATATTCTCCTTTATTTACCTTCAGTAATACCACTACTTAAATTTAGAACATGAGCTATATTGAAAATAAATTTAAAACTTTTAACAGGATTAAATTTCTAGTTGTTTTGTTTCTCTTGAACAGTTTTAATCTATCATAACATCAGCATATTATATGTGCATCAAATTTCAAGAAACAACTGAACTGAATTAGAGTGACTTCGAAGGAATCAGTCCAGAACTCTTACCTTCCTAATACAAATCTGCCCGTATCTGCAGTGTGTTCTCTGTCTTCCCTCCTGTCACAGTGGGAGAAGTGTCTCTGCTCCTATCAAAGGCCAAGCCTTTCCCTGTGCATCACATTCCCCTTTTCTCTTGCCCTCAAGCACTTTGGTCCTGAAAGTTTGCACTCTTTCAACGGATCTGCCTCTTGACTGACTCATTCTAGCTGTCATACAGATGTGCTTTAGCATCTTTTGCCTTAAGAGGAAAAGAAAATAAATGAAACCTCTCCTGATTTCATATCCCTCTACCTCCTCATTTCTCTGCTTCCCTTCACAGCAGAACTTTAGCAGAGACAAACAGTGCTCTTACTGTTTTCACTTCCTCAGCTTCTATTTCCATTTGAACTCCCTCTTATCTGGCTTTTATCCCCATCATTCTGTGGTCACTGTGCCAAGGTCCCCACAACTCCCATATTACCAAATTTAGTGGCCACCTCTCTTTCTTCCTGACCTTTATGTAGTAACATACTTTATAATCTCCTAGCTTTCCTACTACCATACTTTGTAGTTGTCCTGCCTTTCTGACTGTTACGTGTCTGTCTCATTTGCTCACTTCTTCTTTAGTTTCAAATGTCAATTGTCCTAGATCCATCTTATCTTACCCCTTCCCATGCTTTAAATACTCTATTGGGGACTTCCAAATTTATAGCTCAACACACACACACACACACACACACACGACTACTACTTGATTTATCCACTGAAATATTTAGAAAGGATCTTAAACATTTTTTTTAACGTTTATTTATTTTTGAGAGACAGAGCATGAGCAGGAAAGGGGCAGAGAAGGTGGAGACCTGGAGACCTAGAACAAGCTCCAGGCTCAGGTGTCAACACCAAACCCAGCGAGTCAAACTCATGAACTGCAAGATCATGACCTTAGGTGAAGTCGGATGCTTAACCGACTGAGTCACCCAGGCGCCCCAAGGATCTCAAACATTTTGTACAAAGTACAACTCTATTTTCCCTCTCCCAGAGATACTGTGTACTTCTGCCTTTGTCTGTCTGTCTTATTCATCTCATAAAACAACCTACCATTTGCTCAAGTCCAAACCAAAGAGGCTTCCCTCTCCCTCACTGTCCCCACTTGCACGCCGATTCAATTTCAGCATCTTTGTTCTCTCAACACCTTCTGCTGGGCTTCACCTCTGTAGCTATGGGACTCGAGTCCTAGCTGATACACGTCTTGCTAGATTTACTACAATGACTTCCTAACTCCTTCTTCTCTTGGCCTCTTTCAATCCATGTTCCACATAGTGGTCAGACTGATCTTTTTAAAACTTAAATCATTTCACTTCCCTGCTTAACGATTAAGTAACTTCGTATCACACTTGGACTAAAATCCAAACTCCTGACTCCCAAGGCGCCGTGTTACCTGGTCTCTGAGTACACATCCCCTCCTGTTCTCACTATGAGAGAATTCATATATGTCCAGCCACAGTGGCCTTTCTTTTCTAAACACAGCAAAGCTTTTCCTACATCATGACTTTTGTATTTGTTGTTTCCACCACTTTTTCTTTCCCTCCTCTTTTCAGTGGCTGGCTCCTTTGCATTCTTTAGATTTCAGATGAAGGTCTAAGGGAACCTCCAACCTCAATCACTCTCTGTCACTTCAACTCTGAGTATTTCCTTCATAGCACTTTATCACTATCTGAAATTATGTATCTCTTTCCTTTCATTTAAAATTTTTCTCTCCCTACACTAGAATGTAAGCTTTAAGAGAGTTGGACTTAAATATATTTTTTAGCTGCTAGAGACTTGGTTCCTAGAACAGGGCCTGGCACCATAGTAGACTGTTGGTACATTTTTATTGTTGAATAAATGAATGTTTTGTTATGAATATTTCAGTTGTACCAGTGTTTTCTTTGTTTTCATATATTAACAGAACCAAGAAGTATGTCCCTCTGGAATGGCCACCAGTAGTGACAACTCCGGGGATTTATTTGTGAAGGATTTACCGTTGGTATCAAATTCATTATTATGATCACTAATGTCAAAAAAGATTTAATTCTCTGACACATTTATGAAAGAAAATTTGCATCGTATTGATTCTTGTGTTTGGAGTCTGATGTTTCTCTACTAAAAATGCATTTTAAAAAATTTGATATGTTGATATTCTGTTACATGTAGCTAAGCCAAAACTTTCTTATATTTACCTTTTTGATGTTAGGATTAAGCTAGCTATTTAAATATAATTGAATTCCTTCAGTTATATTTTTGTGATACCATGTTTTTATTCTAAGAAGGATTGTTTATTCAAATGACAGTATTTTGCCAGTGCTACAAATTGTCTGGTTTAGAAATGAGATATAATAAAACATCCCATTTAGCACAGCTATCACCCTGTCTTGCTAATCCAGTTCATTCCTAAATACAGTCAGACCCCATATACCCTCTTCCCCTTCTCTCAGATCAAGTACACTTTGTTTATGAACTATTGAGATATAATTACATACAGTGAAGTGTGCAGATCTTAATTATACAGTTCAATGAGTTTGACTAATGTATACACCTGTGGAACCAAAATCTCAATTATGATATAGAGTACTGCTGTCCCTCTAGCTGGGCTTTCTCAGTTTCAGCATTATTGACATTTTAGGCCAGATCATTCTTTGTTGTGGAGGGCTATCCTAAGCATTTTGGGATATTTAGCAGCATCCTTGGCCTCTACCACTAAATGCCAATGCCACTTCCTTCCCCCAGTTAAGACAACCAAAAATGTCTCCAGACAGTGCCATGTATCTGCTGAGGGGATATGATTATCCCCAATTAAGAACTGCTATAAACCATCTCCTCATATCCCTTTCAAGTCTACGCCCTTCTCTTCACAAAAGTAATCACAAAGACAGTTTCTGCCCCCATATTTTTAATCACGAATAGTTTAAAAGCTGTTGAACTGTAACACCTGACAAAATATTTATGTAATGGTCAAAAAGTAAAATGGGGTGATTGAATTTTTATAAGATTCCTGAAATTGTTATTAATTAGTTACCATAACTCTATTACCTAAACCTGTATTTAAAATTTGATGTCTAGAGGGAAAATTCTCTATAGGAAATAAAGAATAAAATTATAATTAGAATGAAACAGCCAGTAATAGTATTAAAGCATAAAGAAAATTGTTTCATGAGCCACAGGGGGGACAAGATTTTTAAAGAAAATAAATAGTATTAACTTCAGAGGGGTCAGTAGTTAGGCACCATAAAAACCTATGCTACAGGGGCGCCTGGGTGGCGCAGTCGGTTAAGCGTCCGACTTCAGCCAGGTCACGATCTCGCGGTCCGTGAGTTCGAGCCCCGCGTCAGGCTCTGGGCTGATGGCTCAGAGCCTGGAGCCTGTTTCCGATTCTGTGTCTCCCTCTCTCTCTGCCCCTCCCCCGTTCATGCTCTGTCTCTCTCTGTCCCAAAAATAAATAAACGTTGAAAAAAAAATTAAAAAAAAAAAAAATCACAGGTCAGCTAATGATGAAATAGGCTGCTAAAGAGTTGAGTAATCAAATTACATTTCTGTAATATATAAGTCAGTTTTGATTGGCTGTTTCTCCAGGTAAATGGAATTACGAGTTATGGCATGTCATCAGGAGTAAGTGTCCAAATAGATAAGGTAGTTCCTCCAGTGGAGTTGAATGTCACTTATAACAAACGAGGCTCCATATAATCAGCAGAAAGGTTTTTTTGTTTTCTTTGATACTTAGCAGATTTAGAATAGAATTATGAAATGATACTAAGAGAAAAACTTAAGAAAATCTTAAATTTCTTTTTGTTACATAATTCTTAAATAAATTTCTGTTTTTCTTTGGCTAGACAAGTTCCTCTTCAGGAAGCTCACCTTCCAGGACAAGGAGAATCATTCCAAATAGAAGGTAATTCAAGTGAAAATGTAAAAATACTAAGGGCAAGATGAGATCTTTGAGAACAAGTAACATAATTAAATTTCTCTAATTTTTTTTTTTAACTTTTTAAGTATGCTCATCTGGCATTCTTCTGCTCAAAGCAAATCTGTTTATTTTACACAGAATATAACAGTTTAAAAACATATCTATTTATTTTGTTATCAGCTATCAGCTATAACTGGCTGCAGTTTACTGAGCCCTACTATTTGCCAAGCTGTGTTAGCCATTTTACATTATCTCACTTAACCCTCACAACAACCTTAGAATATAGGTACAGTTGGTCCCATTTTATATATACTCAAAGAAGTAAAGTATCACACAAAAAGTAGCCCAAAAGGTAAGAGCTAGCATTTAACTGAAAGCCGACCTCCAAAGCTATGCCATTCTTTCCATTTCTAAATTGGCGTGTCCCTGTTCTCAATGCTTTGAAGAAGGGATGGCATTTGAATAAGCAGAACCTTTCCCTAAAAATGCTTACTATATTTCTTACCTGAAGGGCTTTGTAATTATTGCAGTTTTACTGGGATTTCAAAGAACATCTTAGCTCCCACTTTCTCAGTATACTGGTCTTACTTTACTTTACTTTAGAATATGAGGTTCTCTCCCACTGAATCCTATACACATAGATACATATAGCCAACTACTTTTTCTTTAAACCTTTAAACTAGGGACACAGAAAACCCCCAGTTAGAACATGTTTGGACGTTATGTAAGATTCTTTCACAAGTCAGATAGAACCCATCGATTGATCATTGCCAAATAAATTAGATGGTAGTACTAAGTTCCCCAGATTTTTATTTGCTTATAGCAAATGCAACTACAAATGAACTACAAACTGACCTTTCATTTATTTCATTTTTAATTTTGAGTTCTAAGATTACTGAATTTAAAATTTCCATAAAGTTAAACTATTTTTTTCTCATTTATCTTTTAAATTCTCAGAGCAAATACCTATTTCTCAAGACAGACTGGGATTTGGTTTGAATTCAGATGATGATAAATCTACTGATAATGTCTTACCTAGAACTGTATCTGTCCGTCGCAGTTTAAAGAAACATTTTAATAATCTATGTCAGTTCAATACCTTGGATGATTTTGAAATCAGTCATTTCTCAGAGCAGTCCTTTGAATTGGAAAGAATTAGATGTGTAGACCCAGTAGTAAATATGCACTTACCTGAAAACGTGGAACAAAATGTTTGTCAATGGAATAATGATCAAATTAACTTATCACCAAAGCTGATTGACCCAGAAAGATCCACTAAAACAAAAGAAGACATCTTAGAGTATAAACCTGAACAAACTAAAATTAAGCGCAGAGGTGCACAAGGAAGAAAAGGAGAAGAGAAAAGAAAAGGTAACAGGAAAAAATCAAAACCTGTATCAAAGTATAAAGCGAGCAAAAGTGAAAATAAAAAAACTGTCTCCAAAGAAAAGTTGGATGAATCTGTCACTTCCAGTGATGCCTACAATTTTAATTTGGAAGAGGGAATTCATCTCACTCCTTTCCGACAAAAAATTAACAATGATTCTAACAGAGGAGAAAACACCAATGAACCTGAAGTGAGCGTCTGTGAATCAAGTGGTTCAGGAGATGACTCTGATGACCTCTATTTGCCCACTTGCAAGTACAGTCAAGGTCTCTCCAGTGAACCAGCTGGGAGCCCAGTCAGCAGGCCGAGACCTAAAAGAGCGCTAAAACACAGGGCTGAAAAAGAGATAGAGGGCACTAAGCTTATAACAACTCCTATCAGTAAGTGATCTACTTGTTCGCCTGCATTTTTAATGTTTATAATAAATGATCATTCCTGATGCTTATAGGCTATACTTACCATCTGTTTCTCTGGGGGAGGTTAGAGACTTGCCATCTGTCTCTTTGGGGGTAGTTACAGTCTGATTAAACAATGGCGGGTTGGGGGTGGAAATCACAATTGTATGGCTATGACCTACTTTAAGCTAATTTAAATCTTCTTTAAGAACAATACTACTTGTTATGGAGAAAGTATTTTTAACTTCAGTAAATGAAGACTTCCAAAGTAAGAAAAACTTTTTGGTGGAGTTAGGTTGAATAAAATATCTTTTATACACTCACCTGACACAGGTCTTTGAAAATGAAATCAAATTTGAATCCAGTGACCTATCATTTTAATGGCTTTGCTTCATATTCAGTTTGACAGGAACCACGATTTTAAATTGATTCGTTCTAGTTAGTGAAAGGTGGCCAAACACTAAGCCAAACTTTTCCCTCAGTTATTGGGCTTAGTTTTTTGTAAGACATTTGTAAGACATCTAAAAACTGTGGCTTAGAAAATCTTGCTTTTATAAATCAAAAGTAGCATGGTTCAAAAGTTGATGATAACAGCCTGCATCTGCCCACAAAGATTCTCATCTGGAAAATTGTTATTGTGGTAAAACTAATATATGTGGTCAGGTTGTAGCATTCCCAAAACATCTGATCCTCAGGATAACTTTATAAAGTGCAGGTGTAGGGGCGCCTGGGTGGCGCAGTCGGTTAAGCGTCCGACTTCAGCCAGGTCACGATCTCGCGCTCCGTGAGTTCGAGCCCCGCGTCGGGCTCTGGGCTGATGGCTCAGAGCCTGGAGCCTGTTTCCGATTCTGTGTCTCCCTCTCTCTCTGCCCCTCCCCCGTTCATGCTCTGTCTCTCTCTGTCCCAAAAATAAATAAACGTTGGAAAAAAAAAATTTTTTAAAAAATAAAGTGCAGGTGTAAAACAAAATAATAAATAAATAAAGTGTAGGCATCAACATCCTTATATTGTTTATAAGAAAACTGAAAGCCTAAAACATTTAAATGACTTCCCAAAGTTAGGCAGTGGTAGTATGCAACCATGTTTTGTTTTTTTAAATATGCTATAATAATGTTAATGTAAATCAAGATTGGCAAAATGTTGATAATTACTGAAGCTGGGTAACTGGGGGTTCATTATATTGTTGTCTCCATATTTGTGTATACTTGAAATTTTACATAATAAGTTTTTAAAAGAAAAAAATTACACTCTAAGATAGTATTACTCAGAATTTTATCCCCAGATCATCAGCATCACCATTACCTTGAAACTTCTTAAAAATTCAGAATCTCAGGCCATACCCTTGAATCAGAATCTGCATCTTTTTCACAAGTTCCCTGGGGGATTTGTAGATACATTAATTTTGAGAAGCAATATTCCAGAATATAGCAAGTGAGTTGATGTTGCTTAACCATATTTTCCAAACTAAAAGTTGGAATAATTAGTATAGTGCAATATGTGTAAGTGAAGACAAAAAAGACAGTATTTGAAACCTAGATAACTCTGGAGAGCATGGTTGCTAAAAATAGTCATTTTACAGTTATAATTTCATTTGTATTGGAAAAACAACTTGCTTTTTAGAGCTGTTTGAAGAATTGTCTTGCAGTGTTCTTTGTGTGCTGGGTACCTGACACCCAATATAGATCTAGCTCCAAAGTAGAATAACTTGAATGTTTATGATAGGAAAAACATTGGTAACTTTTTAACATACTAGCTTTACCAGAGGGAATCCCCTTCCTGCTGGTTTACACAGAGACTATGATGTAGAATTCTCATTTATTTAATAAAGTGAGTTTACGTAGCTTTTTTAAGACTATAGGAAGCCACTTGATAAATTATGGTTATGAAAACGATGGAGGCCTTGATGATTCTACAAAGCAAGATGGAACTAAAATGAAATTCTGTGATTTAAGGTAATTCATTATGCCCAAGCTATCCTAGAAGAATTTTAATTTTTTTAAGGAATTTAAGTCTTAGGGAAAAAAAAAGAATTTTAAGTCTTAGTAACCTGTTGTATTAGCTCTTCACATCTATAGTAATTGATATTTCAGTGTTATCTGGGATGGAAAAATGATGAATGGGTTAAAAAAATCTATATAATACAATGCTGGATTTGTATATGTTTAGGATCTGTAATTGCATATGATTTTAGTTCCTGCTTTGTTTTTTTTTTAATTTGGAACCATATTCAGTAAAAGTTGTCTTCGTAGGTGCACTACCTAAAACTCACCGCTCACCTCATTTTAGCCTGAAGGATATCACCAATGCTCCCTTGTATCCTGTATTGAAAGTCAGAAAACTTTCTCTTTCTCCAAAAAAGAATAAAGAAAGCCCAGCAGTGTCTCTGCCAAAGCGTAGGTGCACAGTCAGTATGAACTATAAGGAACCCACACTCATTTCGTAAGTATTTGTGGGAACCCACTTTTAATGATAAATGTCGGGGGTGAGGGGAGTAAGGTTTGGAGCTTTGTTCAAGAGTGAGTCTTATTTGAAATATCAAATTTTGATTAAAAACTGAAGTGGGAATATTAACACTGGCATATGTCACAATAACTTTATATTGAAGGGTAAGATGGTGCTGGGATGCTTATAATTATTCCTAAGAGTTCTTCTTATCCTTCTAGGAAACTGAGAAGAGGAGACCCTTTTACAGATTTGTGTTTCTTGAACTCTCCTATTTTCAAACAGAAAAAGGATCCCAGACGCAGCTCTAAAAAAAAAGTATGAAGCAAATACAGTGAAGTGTTTTCTGGATGCTGTTTAAATTCATCCTACTACACCTCCTATCTCTCCAAGAGAGAATCTGTAAGATAGTCTACAAAAGGGTTGAACTATTGCCATGGAATATTCTTTGACTGAACCCTAGATCATGAAAATGTCTTCAAAACTATACTTCAAATGTGATGCTTTTTTCTCATACCACTAATAAATTTGGTTTATTTTTTCTTTTAAATAAAAATAACCGGACATAAGCCCAATTTCTTAAACTGCCTAAAACTTTTAATTTTACTCAAAATGTATCTTCTGCGAAAGTAAAATGTGAGATAATGAACTGATGGTTGCTTAGGTTCTGGGACTAGGCAAGTGACTAGCTCTAAATACCAGGCTATCTAGGTGTATACTGTTCAGTGACCCGTTAGCGAATTATTATGTTTGGACTTTCAGGATAGTTCCTTAGTTAGTCGTTACCATAGTAGGGTCAGTGCAGATATAGAACATTTCCATCACTATAGAAAAGTGATTGCACTATTGGGCAATTTGAAGTTTGGTGTTTTTATACTTTTAATATTTCTGTATTCTTACTGTTTATCCCTAGACTGTTAAGAATCGTTTTGTATGTTAACATTTTACATGAATGTTATATTGTACGTACCTTTTTGCAACTGACTTTTACTTAACTCACCAATGTTTTTGAGATTTATCCATGTTGGCAGATGTAGATTATTTTCATCGTACAGTTATATAAATAAACTAGACTTACTATTTTGAGAGATAATTTGCTTCCACTATTTCCATTATTACAAATTAGTGCTGCGGTGAATATTCTGCATTCTTGCACACATGTGAATAAGTTTCCATGGAGTGGATACCTAGAAGGGGAGCTGCTCTCTAAAGTGGTTGTACCAATTCTCCTGACACAAGGAGTGTTATCACTCTCCTACGAGCAATTTGTAAGTTCTAGTTTCCCCACACAGTATCACTTGGCATTATTGGACATAAAATTACCTAAGCCAATGAATGTCAAATGGCTTTTGTTTTACTTATGAGATATTATCTCATTGAGTTAATTACTTGTGAGAATTCAAATATTGGTCACTCATTCCTTCTATGAATTATTGTATATTTTGCCCACTTTTCAACTAGAGTGTCTTTTTCTTAATAGAATAGGGCTCTTTATATATTCTAGATAGTATTCCTTGTCTTTATTTACATGGGCTATAGCTTTCTTTTTCTACTTTATTTTTACCTTATGTTTTTTGATGTTCAAGAATTTTAAATATTAATATCCTCTGTCACCTTTTTGCTTAAAATTTTTCTCTAAAATTTGTTTTGCTTTTTCACTTAGGTCTTTAACTGTGTAGCATTTTGTGGAATGGGGATCTGATTTTATTTTCCATGAGAATAGCCCATTGCCTTAGCACTATTCATTGACTAATCTATCTTTTCCCCACTGATGAATACCACTCTCTTTGTCACACACCGAAATTTCTTTCTATTGGTTTATTTGTCTAGCTATGTACTGTATAATCACTTTTTTTTTTTTTTTGGTTTGGTGATAAAATATAGTATCATTTTGATCATTTTTAAGTGTATAGTTCAGTAGCGTTATGTACATTCACACTGCTGTGCAATCATCAGTTACCCGTCTCCAGAACTTTTTCATCATCCCAAACTGAAACTCTGTACTCATTAAATAACTGCCCATTTACTCCACCCCACCCCATCTCTTAGTAACCACTATTCTACTTTATGGCTCTATGAAATTGACTATTCCAGGTACCTCATATAAATGAGTATATACAGTATTTCCCCTTTTGTATCTGGCTTATTTAACATAATGTTTTATCCATGCCATAGCATGTTTCATACATGTCCACACATACCAGAATTTCATTCCTTTTTAAGCCTCAGTAGTATTCCATTGGATCTATGTACCACATTTTGTTTATCAATGGGCATTAGGGTTGTTTCCACTTTTTGTCTATTAGAAATAATGTTGAGGGGCGCCTGGGTGGCTCAGTCAGCTGAGCGTCCGACTTCAGCTCAGGTCATGATCTCACAGCTCATGAGTTTGAGCCCCACGTTGGGCTCTGTGCGGACAGCTCAGAGCGTGGAGCCTGCTTCTGATTCTGTGTCTCCCTCTCTCTCTCTGCCCCTCCCCCATTCATGCCACATCTCTGTCTCTCAAAAATAAACAGACATTAAAAAAAAGAAAGAATGTTGCAGTGAACATGGATGTAAAAAGATCTGCTTGAGATCCTGCTTTTAATTCTTTTGGATATCCAGAAGCAGAATTGTTGATAATATGGTAATTCTATATTTTGATGAACCAACATGCTGTATTCCAGAGTGGTTGAACCATTTTACATTCCCACCAGCAATGCACAAAGATCCCAATTTTTCCATATCCTTGCTAATACTTGTGGGTTTTTTTTCAGAATACCTATCGTAATGGGTGTGAAGTGACATCTCATTGTGGTATTGACTTGCATTACCCCAGTGATTAATGATGTTAAACATCTTTTCATGTGCTTATTGTCCATTTATATACCTTCTTCAGAAAAATGTCTCTTCGAGTCCTATTCCCATTTTTGAATTGGGATGTTTTTGTTGTTGAATCTTAGAGGAGTTCCTAAAACATTCTAGATATTAATCCCTTATCCAATCTGTGATTTGCAAATGTTTTCCCCCATTATGTGGGTTGCCATTTTACTGTTGGGAGTGTCCTCTGGTGGACAAGTTTTTAATTTTGATTAAGTCTAATTTATCAATTTTTCCTTTTGTTTTCTTTGCTTTTGATTGTTATACTTAAGAAATCATTGCCTAATCCAATGTCATGAAGTTTTTCCCATATCTTTTCTTGTAAGTCACAAGTTTTTTTAAAAGACATGGATGGAATTGATTTCTTAATATTTTAGGAATTTTTTTATACCTATGATCATAAATTTGCCTATATCCTTTCCCATATACATTTTTGGTAGCAAGGCCACTCTTAAAATTAGTTGAACCTTCCTTTTTTGCTCTCTGGAACAAATGGTACCTATTCACATTTGGTAAAACTTTGCAATTGAAACTATTTTATCCTGTGCTTTTGTAGGCAAATTTTTGTCTTGATTTTTTTTAATGATTATAAGAGTTCTCTAATTCTTGATTCTATTCAGTTAAATTACATTTTTCTTACAAATTGCATATTTCTATGTTTTATTTAATGGTATATTATTTAAAAAACTTTTTTCAGGGGCGCCTGGGTGGCTCGTTTGGATAAGCGTCTGACTTCAGCTCAGGTCATGATCTCGCAGTTCGTGGGTTCAAGCCCCGCGTCATGCTCTGTGCTGACAGCTCAGGGCCTGGAGCCTGCTTTGGATTCTGTGTCTCCCTCTCTCTGCCCCTCCCCCGCTCATGCTCTGTCTCTGACTCTCTCTCTCTCTCTCTCTCAAAAATAAAGGATTTAAAAAAAATTTTTTTTCAAATCTCTATACTATGTAGTTACATCACTTTTTTGTTACGTATTTGTATCTACTTTCTTTTGTACTTAATCCTTTTTGCTAGTTGTTAATCTTTTCTTATTTTGTTAATCTTTTCAAAGGACCAGCTTCTGTCGATCCTCAGTTTTTTCATTTTCTGCTTTATTAATTTCTGCTTTTGTTATTTTCTTTGTTCATATTCTTTGGGTTTATGCTGTCATTTTTCTAACTTCTATTTAGCTCCTTGATGTCTAGTTTTCCTCATATATATTTTTTAAGATTTTATTTTTAAGTAATCTCTGCTAACATGGAACTCGAACTCACAACCCTGAGATCAAGAGCCACATACTCCACCAACTGAGCCGGCCAAGCACTCCTACTCTTAAGTTTTTAAAAGCATTAATTTTTGCCTCTTAGTTTTACTGCATGACCTCTTTAGTGTTATTTGTATATATCTCAAGTTTGATTTCAAGTATTTTCTAACTTTGTGATTTTTTTTTTTTTTCAACGTTTATTTATTTTGGGACAGAGAGAGACAGAGCATGAACGGGGGAGGGGCAGAGAGAGAGGGAGACACAGAATCGGAAACAGGCTCCAGGCTCTGAGCCATCAGCCCAGAGCCCGACGCGGGGCTCGAACTCACGGACCGCGAGATCGTGACCTCGCTGAAGTCGGACGCTTAACCGACTGCGCCACCCAGGCGCCCCTCTTTTTTGACTTATTATGTAAAACAAAATTTTTTTCATACCAAATTGGAGATTTCTATTGTTATTGTTCTTTGTTAAGTGAGTTCTACTTCTTTTTGTAATACATCAAAAAATTTATTTGTATGGTGTTGATTCTTTGGTATTTAAATCTTTTGTGACTAGTAAAAGTTGTTGAATTTTGCAAATGTTTAACTGTATATCCTTGAACATAAATTCTCTAATTGTTGAATGCAATGTTGCATAATGTTTTCAATCTTTTTTTGTATCTTTACCAATTTTGCCTGATTCATCATTTGCTATACACACACACACACACACACACACCACCTTCCACAGAATTTCTGGATTTATTGATTTTCCTAGTGAATTACTACTTTTATCACTGTTGTAGTCACTCTTTTTCCTTCGTAATGCTGTCTTAATGTCTGATATAGCTAAGGCAACTTATATATGGTTAATATTTGCCTGTGTATGGTTAGTATTAGCACTTTTACTATATCATTTTTCCATTTTTTTAAGCCTTCCTATGTTACTGTTTTAGATATATCTCATTAAAGAGTATATTACTAGATTTTGTTTTTGGTCCAAATTGAATTGTCACCTTTTACCTAACAAATTCTGTCCATTTACATTTATTGTGATAACTGCTATAATGTGATTTATTTCCAGCAAATATTTTTATGTTATCTACTCTGCCTTATTTTCTTTTTTCTCTTAACTGTTTACCATTGGATTAGTGGAGTTGTCTTTATTTCTACTTTTATTAAGTGGTTATCCTGAACTGGCTTAATTTGTATACATGACTTCCCAAAGCCAAGTTTCTGAAGAATATCTT